GAAAGAAAGAAAGAAAGAAAGAAAGAAAGAAAGAAAGAAAGAAAGAATACTTTATTGGTCAAGTGTGATTGGACACACAAGGAATTTGTCTTGGTGAAATTAAGTCCTGTCTGTGGAAGCATAGGCAGCCATTAAAAGAAAAAAATAATCTTAAATAATCTTAAAATATTTAATACAAGTACATGTGAGGATAGGCTTTGTGTAAATATTTTTTTCTGTTAAAAGACAGATCAGGGAAATTAAAAGTAAATACTTCTCAAAGAGGTTTCTTCGCTACCCTTATCTCTTTCCGATCAGCTCGAACGTGGAATCCCACTTCCTAGCCCAGCGGACCTGATGTACAAAATTCTGGTGAAGAACAAAAAGAAGTCCCACAAGTCTGCGGATGGGAGCGCAAAGAAGAAGCTTTCTGAACAAGCTTCAAATGCCTGCAGTGACGCCTCCAGTGGCTTTGAACCCTCTTCCCCAGGAGCAGGTAAACATAACGGGATGCTTCCTGTTCTAAAGCCCAGCCATCAATTCCTCTGCTTAATATTGTAACTACTAACAGGCAGCCTTGTAGAGATTCCCAGGATTGAATTAAAGACTTTTTGTAGGCAAAGCAAGTACTCTGCTCCTTAATCTAAACCCCTCTTATGGAAGTGCTCATCCCAATGCAGAGAGGCCGGCAGGAAGCTCCTAGGCTCCCACTTTGCTCTCATTGCGTTTAAAAACTTGAAAAAGATATCATGAACCTACTCAGTGGTGGGATTCAACAAATTTTTACTACCGGCTCTGTGGGCGTGGCTTGGTGGGCGTGGTAGGGGAAGGATACTGTAAAATCTCCAGTCAGAAGTGGTATTTGCCGGTTCTCTGAACTACTCAAAATTTCCACTACCGGTTCTCCAGAACTGGTCAGAACCTGCTGAATGCCACCTCTGAACCTACTTCATATTTTAATATTATATCCAGAAAACAATTTTGTTTACAAACTAGACATATTTTAAATAGTCTTAATGTTTGAGTGGGCTAGCAAATTTGCTTTTCAAGAGGAAGTAGAAGTCAGACCCTAAATACCAGGTGTAACGTTGGCAAGTTCTAACTGTAGTTATTGCCCACAGTTTAGGCTGAGCATATCTGGGGAGGGCATGATGCAAGCCTCATGATTCCTGCCAGCCTTACACCAATGTGTCTGACTCCCTGCAGTCTGTTTCCATGACAGCAGCATCCTTCTTTTTATGTCATACGTATCAGTATTGCTCTCGAGTTCTCGTTAGCATCCATTCAGAAGCTTGTTTAAAAAAAAATAACCAGCTTTTAATATCAACTCTAGGAGCTGCCGCTTATAGCAGGCAAAGCAGTGCCTGTTTTGGTTTATGAAATTTTCTTTGCCAGGAGACATGTCCATACACTTCGGTTGCCCAGAAAAATAAACACACCACTTAATTTCCTTTTGCTTCATTATCAAATTATTTTTGGAACATTTTAGATCAGTAATTTGGTTTCTTTCTTGCTTAGCAGCATTCTCATTTCATCAGCCAAAGAAATATGTTGTTTTTGGTTTTTATTTTCCTCCCTCCTCCATTGAACAGAACTACTATACTTAGAATGTAAGATGTGTGAATTTTCAAAATAAAAGATGTGATCACAGATATTTGATATCATCCCTTTATCCTGATCATCTTTATCTCTGCCAAGAAACAGATTCTTTGCAGATGTTACAGCACCCATTCAGCAGCACTGTATCAATAATCAGCTTAGGAATGCAGTTGTTCCTTTTGTTATAAGGAACTTAAGCTAAGCTTTTTCTTCTATCCCTTTATCATTTCACCTGATTTGAAATGAAGTGTTTCTGTGGGAGTGCACATTTGGGGAGACCAATTACCTGTTCCAATATAAAAGCACTTTACACAGTCCAATTATTGAATAAAGTGATGAACAGGATAAAGGAATCACATCTGGACAGAGCCTTAATCTCCAAGTCCAGATGATAGTTCGTAAAGGTACCCTTAAGTTAACAGACCTGTCCATCCCTATTCCTACTCCCACCCTACCCCACCTCATCCCATCCTACATTTCAAATAAAAGAGGAAGTAAAGTGTAGTAACCACTAGGCTCTTTAAGCCTACTACTATTCAAGCACTCACAAATAACAAAGACCTGTTCATCAGTCATGTACCTCAAGGAGTTTGCTAAATAAAACAATAGCTCCTGGTAACATTGATTGGGGAAGCAAGTTTGTGTTGGGGGGCATTTATTTCTTCTGAAATCTATGCACTGTAACTATTCGATATAAATCTGTTGTGTCTATCTGAAGGAGAATTGGGAACAACTATACAGTTTTACTTCAGAAAGTTTTGGCTTGAACTGCACAAATTCTTTCCACTTCCTCCTAGACTTTGAAGTCAATTATAGAACTTTTATGGCTTTCATAATTGATTCCACATCAACATGTTTCCATGACTCTCAGATTTGTAAAGGGAGGGGGGGCTAGAGAAAGGAATATCAGTGATGAGCAGACCTTGGATGTACCACCTAGAGCAGGAGTGTCAAACTCACAGCCCACAGGCTGGATGCATCACACACTGGCCATTCCGACGCCCTGTTTAGTGAAGGGGGAAAAAGTCCCGCTACATCACCGTGAGGACATGAGTTTCACACCCCTCACTTAGATCATGCACACATACCCCATAATGTCTGAATTCCAGAAATGAATGGGCACAGTATTTTTACTTACATATCACTCTTGATTTACCCTCCTCTTTCAGCATTTTAGTGTGTGTGGATAGGTGGGTGTGGGTGTATTGTCTTTTTATCACTACTAATCATTGTCTATTTTGAAAATATTGTTTCTTTGTTTATATGCTATGTTTGTTAACTGCCCTTATGTTACAACTCTGGATACTGTTCAACAAAATGAAACAGTCAAGAAATAATACAAAAGTAAAATAACAGCCAGTTAAAAAATAGAGGACAAATGTACATGATCCAGTCAGCTAGAGGTGAAAGTTTGTTGAAGAAGAATATTTCCATTTAACTTTTTAAGATTAACTTTTTCCATTTCCATTGTAGGTTTTTATGGTTATCATTATTGTGATGTTGTTTGCCATCCACAGTCAATAGGATTGAGGTTGGACAGCTATTAAAATTGAATGAATGACTGGCTGGCCGAAATAAATAGATAGATGGATAGATAGATGGATGGATGGATGGATGGATGGATGGATAGATAGATAGATAGATAGATAGATAGATAGATAGATAGATAGATAGATAGATAAGATAGATAGAGTCTTCCTGAAAACAAAAGGGAAGGATGCCACCTGACTTCTATATTCTGAAAATACAGAAACTGCCACCAAGAGTTCAATCAATCTATTTTTTTACAGTCACAGACCAGCATTAAAAAATAAAAGCATTAAAAGAGTAATCAATCCCAAGGCCCAGAAACCTCAAATAGAAAAAGAGATTCTTAGCAAGCCTTCCTGAGACATCCAGACCAGACAGGCAGAGTTAACTGCGGCAAGGTGTAGCTGTTATAGCCTTGTCTCGTGCCTTATAAAAGGGCCTGACTAGCACTGACTGAAGACATCTCCACGAACGAGCAGAGGGTGAACTCAATTTTAGGGTGTGTTTGATAATACTGTGTCTGTATATATTGTATGTATGTTTGTGCATGAATCTGGTAAAGCTATGAATAATGGAAACAGTCTTTGCCCTTACATTTCAGACAGAAGTGAAGAACCGTTTGAATCATCAGTGGAAAATAAAACCTTATATAATGAACTTCATAATGTTAAAAAGCAAAAATGTGCAAGTAGAGTCACGAAGCTGAATTTTTTGTTTGTTTGCTTGCTTGTTTTAGTCATAGAAGGCACTATTTTGATTTTTTCCATAAATAATTTAGGAGGAAAACATCTGTGCAGTAGGTCTTGTAATAATGCATTTGCTTTGAAGCAAAGGTATGTTTATAAAATATCTGTGAATATTGGTTGATGTTTTCATTAAGATTTCTCTTTGCCAATTAAAATATTGCAGGTGAAGCAGAGATAGAGAGTGACGAGGATGATGACTATGATGATGACTGCAAAAAATCATCAATGGATGAAGTAAGGAATTTTGAAGTATGAATTGTCCTGATATGACTTGGAAAGATGTCTACATAATTATCTGCATGAGTCAGTATTCTACTGCCATCTTGTGGATAGTAAGAACCAAAACCCAGCCCTGAGTGATTTGGCATAATTTTTTTTACTGCTGGTCCAAAACTTACGGAAGAGATTTCTATTTTTAGGTGAATTTATTTGAGGCACAATTCACCCTCTGCTTCCTGGCATCTCCACACCTAGCTCTCCTGTGCCTTATTCATATTTAGAAAAGGTTTGGCTCCAGTAAGTTGAAAATACCTATCAACTTAATCTTTGTCTTATCGTTGTCTTTTGAGAGAGACAAAGATAGAGATAGAGAGCTAGAAATTATCCTGATACATGCACAAGCATAATGTTAGAGAATTACAATATGTATATATAAGTTAGTTCACTTAGTAGTAAACAAGAAAGGTAAAATTGTAACTGAAATGTTGTTGGACACACACTTGTTCAAAAATACAAAGCAAGGTAAGATCCTTCAGATCATTTTATAATTGTTGGTAAATGAATCTGACTAAATGACTACAATGGGTGGTGCAATGGCTCAGTAGTTAAGGTGTGGGGCTTGTCAGCTGGAAAGTTAGTGGCCCAGGTTTGAGACCTGAGCGCCATGTGATGGAGTGAGCTCCCATCCTCACCCCAGCTTCTGCTAACATAGCAGTTCAAAAGGCAAGTAGTGGAAAGGTAACAGTACTCTGCGACATCATGCTGGCCATATGACCATGGAAATGTCTTTGCACAGCGCTAGCTTAATATCCTTGAAATGGAGATGAGTACCCCTACAGCTGACAATGACTAGTGAAGTAAAATCTGTTCATGTCTTCTATAAAGAAGGCATACTTATAAGAGCCCGAAATACATTTTTTATCAATACTTGTTTAAATCTAGAGTAACGGAAAAGATGGGTGCCAAAAAGGCTTCCTGTTGATATTCATGAACCGGACATTCCAATTCTTTATTCCATGTCTCCCTGTCTAATTTAGTATGTTCAGCAACCATTTGTAAATAACTTCTGTAGGCTTTTTGTTTTGGAAATAGCACGCTCAGTCCTTAGTGAGAGAAGATGCTGAAACATGTAGGGATGCTGCTCCACATAAGCTCTGTTATATTGCTTAGGGCAGAGTTCTCCAACATTTCCCGGTTGATGGCCCGGGAAGAGTGGGGGGGCGGAGTAGGGAGTGGGGAAAGAGGAGATGGTTTTGTGGGAGAAGCAGGCACGTGCGCGAGCACTCACTGCTTGTGCAAGTGAGGTTGTGAGTGCTCATGCGAGTAGGGAGTGCCCATCCCAGGTGCCCATGATGCTCATGTGATCCCCGAGAGTCCATGACACTTGTGCAAGTGGGACCCCAAGCCCCCACTATGTTCGCATGAGTGGGGCTGTGTGTGCGCATTCCAGCCAGCCACTAACCTAGCCGGCCTGGTTAAGAAAAGGTTGCAGCCCAGTAGTGGGCCATGGCCCACAAGTTGAGGATCCCTGGTTTAGGGAACTGAAATAACTCCAGAAAGCTGGGTAAGTAACATAGCAATAGCACAGACTTACATACTGCTTCACAGTGCTCTACAGCCCTCTCTAAGCAGTTTATAGAGTCAGCATATCACCCCCAACAATCTGGGTCCTCATTTTACTGACCTCGGAAGGATGGAAAGCCGAGTCAACTTTGAGCCGGTGAGATTCAAAATGCCCAACTGCTGGCAGCCAGCAGTCAGCTGAAGTAACCTTCAATACTGTACTCTAACCACTGCGCCACCATGTGCCAATGGTTGGCTTATGTGTACTTCTACATCATATTTTAGATGATTTGTTTATTTCAAGTTTCATATTTCAAGTTTTAGGATTTAAATGTGTTTTGCTTTTGAGATATGGAAACATTTCAAAGAGAAGAGCAGAATTGTTCACTCCTCTAGAAGCTCATTCAACCTTCCCATTGAAAAGCATTCTGGTATTAATATTAGTTTAACTCTGTTCTAGGGAACAGCTGGAAGTGAGGCCATGGCTACTGAGGAAATGTCAAACTTAGTTAATTATATACAGCCTGTAAAGTTTGAGTCATTTGAGATCTCTAATAGTAAGTATGCTGATTATTCACTTCTTATCATTTAGTGTTGGTTGGGTGTAGCTTGTATCATCAATCTTTTTTCCATTTCCAAGACACAGTATTAAACTGACAAGTTATATAGTGCCAACTATTGGTTAATAGCGGCTTAGTTTTCAAGTTACATGGAGGTGTTTTGGCAGTTCCTCTGTGAAGAGTGAAGGTTTCCGTTCTTTTCTACAAGACGGCTATGAAATCTTCTTAAGGAATGCTTTCACTTCCAAAAGAACAAGCTAAACAGTGTAAATAGAGAAAACCACCTTCCTTCAGTTTAAAGAGTCATAAAATGTGCAAGGTGGGTTTACATTCCAAGTATTTTTTAAAAAGCAGTACTGTGCTGGTGTTGTGTTATGCCACAATGCCAGGAAGGAAGTATTAAATGTTTTTGTTTTGATTTGATTTAGGGTGCTTTTATTTTCTGCAAAAATGTTTTATAGGCACAACACAGGACAAGAATGCACGCATTAAATTGTTTTTCTTATTTTTAAATCACTCATTAGAAATTAATGGTCCATACTTAAGATTTCCAGCTGGTTATTGCTAAAACCACTTTGCTGGGAACACACTTTATTACATTTTCTTTCTGAACACTGTTCAGCAGAACACGTCCTGTTTCACTTCATTTGGTAGAGCAGAGAATTGTGTCCTCTGCTGTTACTTTTTCACAGGAAGCCTGCATCCGCTGAATTGCAGTGCACACTGCTGATAGGAATTACAGTTTTCAGTACTCTTTTCTGTTAGGCAGCCTGTGATATTTACACTATGCTCTATTTGCTTTCTCAAAATATGTTTACACTTGACTGAATTTATTATTGGTGATGGATGGGAATGATGAATCACATTGTTAAGACTCTGGACACATGTTATTAATTGCTGCTTCGGAGGATCATTGAATAAATGCATGTATTTAAAAGTTTCATAAGGGTATTTCATACTGGATGGAAATTTGGGGAATTACGATACCCTCCCATCTGAAAAGCAGAAAATTGAAGAAGGCTGGTATAAGTGCTTATGCCGATTCTTTATCTGTGTCATCTGTAATTTTTTACTAGCAAATTTACTGCCTTTTAAATTCTTTTTCTTTTAAAAAGAAAGATACAAATGAATAAAAGTAATACTGGTTTTGCACTGGGGTTTTATCCTTATAGGTTGACTGGAGTCACAGAAAGTGAGTTGAGTGGCCAAATACATTTTCTTAATAAATAAATATAAAGTAAGTAGAAGAAAAGAAAATAAAGAAATCAGAAAAAGCTAAAAGGACAAGAAAGGGGAGAAAGTGTAAAATTGGGGGAAAAAACAAGTAAACAAAAGTGGCTTCCAATCTCGTTTACAGCAGTTATAAGTACAATTATAAATTGATTCTGAAGTAACAACACAATTCTCTTCTTCATTTTGTTCTGTTTTACACAAAAAGTTCATAATGGGTTTCCCTAAAGCTTTTCTCCAATATCTTCATCAGAATCCTCTGGGATTGCTCTAAATCTCAAAGAAAATTCCTTCTCTCTTAATTCCATTAAAGCCAAATTATCTAATTCTTTTGGAAAGAGATTACTGTCTACAACTTCTTATTCTTCAGAATTTCCGCTTTATCATTAATTTCTTTTTACATCTCCTGACACTTTCTTTTACAGAGCTTTCTACCTTTTTATTGTAACTTCTACCTTCCTCTCCTGTTTTATCTTTACAGTCTTTGACCTATTCTTTTTTTCAAAAGCTGTCATTTCAATATCGAGGGAGTTAGCTAATTTATTGCTGAATTCCTTGAACATTTTTTGAAGTAAATATGGTGTAATTCCTCTCTTTGCAGGTTGTTCTAGCAATCCTCTCCTCCCCTCTGCTTTTTTTTTTTTTTACTATTTTCCTAATGGAATATTCCTATTAGAATATTATAATCCCAAAATGAAAGTATGTCAGTTGTAAGGGAAAAAATAAAGGCAAGCTTGCCCCCCTGCCCCCAACTTTTTTATGTTTTATTGGATGGATTGATGTATGTTGAGAAAACATAAAGTGCAATCTTAATTTTAAAAATTGTGACTTTTTTTTTTAAATTACAGAACGGAACAAGAGTTTTGAAATGTCTTCCTTTGTGGAAACCAAAGCACTTGAACAGCTCACAAAATCTCCGGTCGAGTTTGTGGAGTATCTTTGAAATTGAGAAAAATATCTTAGAAAAGCTTCGACCCTGAGGAATAGAGGCTGCTGAGGACCATTATTGAAAATTAACTTAGGTTGAAGAAACATGCACACAACACTACTATATATAAGTGACAGCAAAACAATGTTGATAGATATATCAGGGTTCTTTTCTCCCCGCAAAAGTATTCATCCTTTTGAATTAAAACTTAGAAGAGCAACACAGAAATGAATTGGGTTTACATTCCTAGTTAAATACTTATCAATTATATATTGTGGATATATTTATAGATCCTCAGAGTAGATTCTACATGGACAAAATTTAGCATAGAACAGATGACATATTGCTGCTGCATGACATTTGCCATTAAAATCAGAACAACTATAATAATTGGTGATAAGAAACATAATTACTACTGAAGAGTGGCTGCCAATCAAACTTGACATTTTTCAGATTAAGACTCCATTAATATGAGGAAACTTTTCATGTTTCCAATAGTGAGATTATAGTGTCCCTCTTTCCCCCATTTATCATGTTTTGTGTTAAGTGAGCAACAATTCTGTTCCAAAATATATAGTGTTTTGTGGGAATATTTTAATCTATCTATCCATCTTGAGGTTTGTAATTTTATTTTCAGGATCTGTCCAAAAAACAAGATCAGTCCTTGGATTCTACCATTCTTTTTCTCTCTTGCTGTTATATTTTATATAAAGAAGATTAAAAATATTTCATTTGCACTAAAACAAGGCTGTCAAACTCCCAGCCCATGGGCCGGATGCATCACACACTGGCCACACCCAGTTTAGGAAAGGAAAAAAAAGTCCCGGTACGTCACACGATGCCGATGTGATGACATTTGATACCCCCGCACTAAAGCATTAAATATTTGACACAAATACTTGTCATAGATACAAAGCAGAATGCATAGAGGCTCTTTTGATTCTACAAATCAACATTTTGTGGGACTGTGAAGCCAATATTACATAATGATGGTAGCTATTTTTCAGGATCTTCTACTGCCATGTATGATGGCGCATCTTTACAGAAGTGCCCATTCATTTAGTTGTTTCTGAGTGACAAGGCTCACTTTGTCATTATGGCGTGGATGAGTACTGGTTGGTAGGCTGCTGCTGGTTCAGATTGGTTCTAGCGAACTGGTAGTTTCTATGATCACCTGGCCCCACCCCCACCCTATCCTGTCCTATACTTCCATCTTTTCAGCTCAGCTGAGGCATGGCATAGTGGATTTCTGCACCTCAGCTGTTCTACTTACCATGGCTGCCCTTGAAGGTAAGCTGTAGAAGTTCAAATTGATGTTTTTTTAATGCTGCGTGAACAATTAAACCGGTTGCAGCCTACCACTGCTAGTTATCTCCGCTATCCATAGACTGGTCTTGGGCAACAAAGAAGTTTGGATTTGTTTGTTTTTATTCTTTCCAACAATAATTCCTAGCAAACATTACTCATTTTGCAAATCAGAACCTGTTTTGTTAAGGTTCTGAGAAACAGTTCCACCCCTACTATTAGATTATAGTTTTAAGGCCAGATACAACTTCTTACCTATCAAGATGATAAAAGCAACAGATAAGAAGTAGCCAGGGCTGAATCTGGGATCACCATTTCTTTCAAAAAATTAACAAGTAATTTGTTGTGCAAACTTTTAATCTAGCCGTTTCTCCAGTTGTATTTTATCTTAACCACTCACAATTTAGGTATAATAAAATGCAGCTGAGCCGAATTTACCCAAAAGGGACACGTGTTGATTCCTCAAATTACATGCCTCAGCTGTTCTGGAATGCAGGCTGTCAAATGGTTGCTCTTAACTTCCAAACTGTAGGTAAGATCTATGTTGCTGTTATGTTTTCTGATAAGGAAAAATAGTAGATAATGAAATACCAAGTTTGTGGGAAAATTAAAGATAACTAAGAGTGGCATGCATACTTCTCCTGAAACCAACTGCTTCTTTAAAACTTCCGCATGAATGAGTAACCTGCCTTAATAAAAGCTTTTTAAGCAAATCAGGATTACAGTTTATTTCCTTACATAGGTTGGTATTCTCGATGTTTCTTTGATGGATTTTTTGATCCTAGCTCTGTAGTGATATTAAAACGAGGAACATATTTTAATAACAACAGTATATCTGAGGAAACATAATAGGCCTATGAATATGAGCAGTGAAAAACATGTGATTTATAGGCAGTAAGAAATTAATATGAGCAAGTGAGTGTTCATTTGTTTCTGTTCCCTCCTGAATCTCAGACATGATAATGTGGAAAGCCTTTCATTTACCCAGTTCAGAATTGTACTGCCCACTCAGGGCTGAGAATTCGTACTTTCAAAGAAGATCAGTTGGTGTGAAATCAAAATGAAAGCACTAGCTGCTTTATTAAAAAGAGGCACATGATTTTAATGAGTTTGGCAGCACAGCCGGCAATTATTAATTATCAGAGAGATTTGTTGCTAGCACCTGACTACCTCACTTCTGCTTTGTTACAATTGCCAAATGTGTAGTGAGGCAAGTGACCATTGTCTCTCCTTCCTTTTCATCTAAATAAAAATTAGACCAGAACTTAAACAGAATCTCTTTCAGCTCCGTGGAGGGGATAATTTCAATACATAATGTAACCAGACCAGGGACAAAGACTTAAGAGGTCTCTTCATCCAGCTGGTTTTAGTCCATGCTGTTTTGCAAAGATTCAGTGGGCAGCATAAATAGGTTTATGATTATTCAGAGCATTTGAGGCAAACATCACAGCACTTTACCTGCTGTTATTGTTCGGCATATTCAGAGATACCCTGTCTATATGTACATAAAAAACTATTATCTATCATTGTATTGGATATATTTTTTTAAAAAAAAACTCCTTGTGAATAGTCTTAAAAATAAGCTCAAAATATTGGTGGTTGAATGGAAAATCAGCTTGTTATTTTTACAGACAGACTTCAGTATACAGGCAGTCCTCAACTTACAACAGTTCATTTAGTGACTGTTAAAGTTTCAATGACATTAAAAAAAGTGACTTATGACTATTTTCCACACTTACAACCTTTGTAGCATCCCCATGATCATAAGATCAAAATTCAAATGCTTGGCAACTGAACTCATACTTACGACCGTTGCTGTATCCCAAGGTCAAATGATCCCCTTTTGCAATCTTTTGACAAGCGAAATCAATGGGGAAGCCAAATTCACTTAAGAACTGGGTTACTAACTTATCAACTGCAGTGACTCACTTAACAACTGGGGCAAGAAAGGTGGTAAAATTCACTTAACAAATGTTTCACTTAACAACATAAGTTTTGGGCTCAATTGTGATTGTTAGTCGAGGACTACCTGTATTCACTTCGAGCTTTTAAAGAGGATAGGAAGCCTTTAGTGAAATTTCAATGTCGTACTTTGGTCAATTTGTTAGGCTTTCTCTATCATCCCATTAACATATATTTCTGTATTATTCCATAACACAATTTTTTTTTCATATAGATTTGTCTATGCAAATAAATATGGGGATGTATGAGTATAATGGCAAAAGTGGATACAGACTAAAGCCAGAGTTCATGAGAAGACCAGACAAGCATTTTGATCCATTTACGGAAAGTATTGTAGATGGAATAGTTGCAAACACTTTGTCTGTAAAGGTAGGTATCCACTTGCTCATCTGCTAAATTCTATAAACATAATGAACCTGAAAGACCAAAATAACTTCTCATGCACTCATTCCCAATATTTTTTTAAAAGTGTGAATCTCATATATGCAAGTGACTTGTTATAAGCATATATTACAAGCATATTGAACAAGTCACATTCAGATATTTATAACCAGGAAAATAGAAATTATCCCCAAAATTGAAGAAAGAGAGATGATACACATGTTTGGACAAGAAAACAAGATAAATTAATTATATAAAGAAAGTCAAACTGATGGTAAAGGTAAAATAACTAGCCTTAGAATTGATAATGAATGTATCAAAGATAGTTTCTACCTTTTAGAATCAACCATCAACAGTAAAGGAACCAGTAGTCAAGAAGTACAGAACAGTAGGGAGACATTATCTGAGGGGAGCCCACAAAAAAAGGGGTCATTTATTTCCCCTCCTATGAATATTCATTGGAATCAGTCCTGGAAGAAGAAGAAAATTCATTGCAAAATTGCCATCTTCTAAATCGCCATCTTCTAACCCCCTCAACTGGTCTGGAAGGATGTCATGATTGATGGTGTTGAAAACCACCAAAAGATCAAGGAGAGAGGGAACATAGATGCATCATCCACACTACAGGTCATCTGCAAGTCTATGCCATTTGGTTCCCATATACAGGCCTGAAGCCTGACTGAAAGACATACCATATAATCCACTTCCTCCAGGCTGCAGTATAAAGCACCTCCTCAACAACTTTCCCTAAAAATGGAAGGTTGGAGGCCTGATGAAAATTGTATAGCGTGGTTGGGCCAGCTACAGCTGTTTGAGGAGATGTAGGATTACCTCTTCCTTACACATCAGCACCCCCACTCTCCAGGATGAATTTATCATTGCTTAGACTCAATCACATGTCATCTTCCAGGAGGCCTCCAACCAGAATGGACATGGGTCTAATACAGGGGTGTCAAACTCACGGCCCACAGGCCGGATATGTCAGGCGCTGGCCTTGCCCATGCATGGTTTTAGCAAAGGGGGAAAAGTCACAATATGTCACATGATGCCTTCACGACACAAGTTTGATACCCCTGGTTTAATATATAGCTGGTGAAACTCACAGCCTTAATGAGTCTGTCTGTTTCCTTGGGACTAGCAGGTTCAAATTCATCCCAGCTAAGAAAGCCAGACCTATATAAGCAAATCTGAGTGATTTTATACAGCAAATGCCTAGAATATTGCTCACAACAGCCCTATAGTAATGACAGACTCTGCCCTACCAAATTGGGATACAATCTCCCATAACTCAGTATGATTGCCAATTGGCTATCTTTGGACTTGATAAAGGAAGAAAATATGCACTTTCTGCTAGTTTTATCACCACAAACTAGCCTCGAATAAAGTCTCTAACCTGTGTGGTCATCCTTTATTGTCCTCCAGAGGTTCTCTGTATGCTTCTTTTGTCATTTTGTCACTCAATTTTTTTGTAAACTGAGCTACATAGGGCCAGTCTAATTCAAGGTCCCAGTTGAATTGTAAAACAGACAAAAGAATGCACCTGAGCTACTTCTGAAACCCAGCTGGATTCAAGAGGTGCCTTGAATAGGTAATCTTTCCAAGACAATTAGAGAGTGATCAGTCTGTGATGAAAGACTGATGGTAGTCTTCTTGACCAGTACTGGTCCGTGGATCATTTTTACCGGGCCGCAAAGCTTGGGCGCCGCCATCTTGTTTCGACGGCACTTCAGGGTTTTCGGTTGGAAAGTGCTTCTGGGTTTTCAGCTGGAAAGCGGCGTTTGAATGCTCGCGCCTTAGTTTCGTCGAAGGGGGGGCAGCTTCGAACAAAGAGCCGTCCTGATGGTGGTGGAGTCTCGTGTTACTCAGGTACCAGTCCGTGGAAGAATAAATAATCGTGAAACTGGTCCCTGGTTCAAAAAGGATTGGGGGCCACTGTTCTTGACCATTTTCTCTTGTTATTAGCTTTACATATTAAGAAAGCAAGTCATTTAGTCAGTTTGCATTGAATTGCAGCAAAAGGTGTTTTAATAGAATGTCTCAACCTTTCATTTTTCGTTTAGGTCATTTCTGGCCAGTTACTTTCTGACAAAAAAGTTGGAACTTATGTCGAAGTAGATATGTTTGGTCTGCCTGTGGATACGAGAAGAAAAGCTCTCAAGACAAAGACATCTCAAGGCAATGCTGTGAATCCTGTATGGGAAGAAGAAGCCATAGTGTTTAAGAAGGTGGTATTTATATTTAATCCCTCTGCAAAATAATAATGCATGGCTATTATATTCTGGTTTTGCCGACATGTATCACTTAAAAATTCTGTGTGCTTTAATTCTGTTCCACCTGAGTTGTAAAGAAAGATTTCTTCCTTTAATTTTAGATCCCTAAGTGCTTACTGATAAAATGTGATTTATTCTGTGGTAATTGAATATATTGATAAATTTGTTTATAAGACTTGTATGGCTGCCCATAGGTGTATTTTATTCTGATCCTCCTTTTCCATTCTTGTTCCTTATTAGTATTTTATTGTGTTAGTAATAATGTTGGCACTTGTTTGCCTAATGAAACTACAGAAAATACAGGGGTCAGATAGTGAGTGTGATAGAAGTAGAAAGTAAGGAGCTATGGAGCCTTGGGACATCTTAGGAGAATGACTGAATTGCAGGTCTTCATTTTCTTTTTTATTTATTTATATTTATTTATTTTCATCCTGTGTTTATTATTTTTACAAATAAGGCGGGAAACATTTTCAATACATCCTCTTCCTATTTTCCCCGCAACAATAACCCTGTGAGGTGGGTTGGGTTGAGCAAGAGTGACTGGCCCAAAGTCACCCTCAGCTGGCTTTTAGGGCTAAGGCAATTATTATAGTTTTTATTGTGTTTATGATTTTATTGTTGTTGTGAGTTGCCCAGAGTTGTGCTCTAGGATAGGCAGCCATACAGATCTTTTAAACAAATAAGCAAATAAATAGTTTCTCCTAGGAAGTCGTTTATTTTATTCTTGTTTTATGTTTTCTGCTTATACTCATTTTCCTTTTAATTTACCCGAATATAGCCGTATACCAGTTATTATTATTAGATAGCTAATAATTTTATATCTATGATCATTTCATATTTGCCATCAAATACGGCTTACTCTTTTTTGTTTCTTTTATTACATTTCAACGTTTAGGTTATTAAGCCAAAATGTTAAAGTAATGCATTGTTTTCAAAAGCTATACAATGAAGAGGTATAGATGAGCAAAAAGAGATAGCCTTGTAGAGGGTGTGTGGTGATCATTAGCAAAATATATTGAACTCAGCCTAAAAAATAAAGTGGGAGGAAGAAAATTATGGTTGCTCTGTCCTCACTCTCTTTAGTATAAGAGGATAAAGACTGTCACATTGACAAGATTTTGCTATTGTACCAATAGTATTCCTTGTGAAGTCAGTCTTGTGACATGGCATACTTTGAAGGGTTAACAGGATGTTATCCAGTTACAGGATATTTTTTTATGACAAAACTTCTTTTGTATCTTATATTGGTTGGTGTATATTGAGTGGTGTAGTGGCGTAGAGGTGGAGCTCTTACTCACAATCAGGAAGCTGAGTGAGTTTGATCTTAGGTAGCAACAGATATTTTTCTCTCTGGGTGCATAATGAAAATATCTTCTGCAAACTCTGCGTAGGTGTCAGGAAGGGCATCCGGCCAGGAAATGTTCAGCTCCATTCAGTTGCCCCAACTCCATCCCAATACATGAGATTACAGGGTTGTTAAAAGGAAAAAAAAATGGTTTGGTAGATTTATTATATATTGGCAGTAATAATATGAAAGTTTCTGGAGTCATGATTTTATTTTTAAAATCTATAACTATTTATAAGGTTTAACAGTATGTAGATAATGTATATCTTATTCTTTGAAAGATTTGATAGACACATTGCTTTGATAAATTGTAGTAGTTTTACAAAAGTTATGAAGAAACATTTTACACATTTTTAAAAAGCACCGTGTCTTTTGATAACTTAATTATTAGTGATCTAGTTATGGATTTTCAATGAGACATACACACACACATACATACATAAACAAAACATATATTTATTTGGTGGGCATATCATCTTACATTTAGAGTATAGTTTTATTTCATTTTAAACTATTGTGGCAGGTTTTTTTTAGGCTAAGCTCTTTTTTGAAGGAGGTTTTCATTTACCAGACTATCAAAAATATGATTGGATTTATATATAACTAGAATGAGAATTTTAAGTGTATGTGGACTTAATGGAGAGTTATTATATATCTCTGTTAGGCTCCTAACAATTTCTTGGGTCAACAAGCGGCAAAAAAAGTTCTTTAATTTCCTGGCTTTCATGCACTTAAGACATATTTGGGCTTTATTGGCATGTAGATTGAATTTTGATACTGAGTCAAATGAATGTTTACCTTTGTGGAAAAAGTAAAAAATAGATGGAACGACATTCTATTGTTATATCAGGCATGAGAAATTGACAACAGGATTATATTGAGAGATTGGGAGAATACTATTACCCTGAATACCAATCTCGAATTGTGTAATTTACCCATATTTGAAAAGACAGTTTTCCCCTGTAATAGGTTTCCTTTGGACATGGATTCCATAATATTTTATAACCAAATTTTATGCAAAATTCAGTATATTATTTTTACTTGATTAAAGGCATATGTTATACATTTCAGGTGATTTGTTTTAAGTTAGTATAGTAATTTGGGGAAGAGTTCTATTTGTTTTTTTATTTTTGTTATGGTATTACAATTTTATAATTTATTAAGTTGTTGGATATTACTGTTTTTCTTTTCTTTTGCATATTACTTTGTCCTCTACTTTTATAAATTGCATTTTTTAAAAAACCAATAAATAGCAATTATTCCATGTAAAATGACACAGTACACAAATAATTAAAGGAAAATTCAATTATCGGATTGATGTTTATTCCCAAATGAAAATCATAACCCTAACCTTAACCTAATCATAATAATGTAATATATTTCTAGGATATTGTGGTATATTTGATAGGTGGGTTTTTAAGGAGAAGGTGGGTTTAAAATTAATACGCATCTAAAGAAAAATTTAATACTTTTTTTTGTAAGTCCTAATGCAGTACTGCAAGACATTTTTAATATATCCTTGACATATTAAAGTTAATAATGAGAAAATTATTGACTGTTTTATGTGCCAAATATTAAAAACATGTAATGTTTAAATTAAATGTTTCAGCTAATAGAGCTACAGAAGAAGAATGAAGCTAACAAACTTGCTACATCAAATGGTTTATTTACTTACATTTTTTTTCCTTAGAACAATTGAGTACTGAATTTTAATAGTTAACTTGTAGTATGGCAACTCTTACTGCCTATGAGATAAGCTGATTGTTGCTCATCCAAATCCTCCTGCACTTGACGTGACTGCTTTGACATGGTTTGAGCCATTTTGGCATCCACACGTTTTCGTCTAAAATCCCGTGGCCTTTTTCTGTGGGATGTGGGCTGCTCCTAGATATCCAAAGATTCCACATAACCCTTCTCAGTCTTTCATTGCCTTCACACTGTTAGTTATAAGTCTTAAGAATTAAAAGGATTCTATGTGACGTCCGCTGTTGACTCCGATATGTGACATCAGACCAATTGTGACATCAGATCAGAACCATCTTCAAGAGACAATGCAGGTAGTCTTCACTTAACAATTGCCATTTTCTGTGACTGTTCACAGTTATGACAATGATAAAAAGTAACTTTATAACCAGTGCTTACATTTATTTGCACATTTATAAAGCAATGCAGAGGTGAAGACCAGAAACACAGTCACAGTTTCACTTAGCAACCACTTCGTTCAGCAACTGAATTGCTGGTCCCAATTGTGGTTGCTAAATGAGGCTACCTGTCATCATAACAAACATGCAAGAGAAAAAAAAATGCTTTTCTTATTAATTAAAAGGTTTTTAAACTCCTTTACTACAATTCATTCCAGTATTTAGGGAAAGAGAGTTGGATTATCTATTTGATTTCTTTCTTGTGGCTGACCTTAGCTGATCTCAATTAGTTATGCAGGTGAAATCTGATTAGTAATTGGATGGGAGACCACCAAGACATCTCAGAAGTATAGACTAGACTGAAAAGTAGAAACCAAAAAATCCTAGAAAAAAACAAACTGTTTCTGTATGGTTGCAAAGAAAACTACGACATGGGCATGCTTATATAGTTGCCAAGAATGACATTTCCAAGCGTAATTTTTGTCTGTATGTGAATGAGTGAGAGAAAATTTAGCCAAAGACTCAGACTGTGTATTTTCCAAGTGTTATTCAAATTTTGTTTACTGTTTCCAGAAATATCTCTGTGAAAATGCTTCTTATTCCAACTCTGTGTATGTAGTATACCATAAAACACTAAAAATATCTCTCTTCAGGTGGTCCTGCCTTCTCTAGCATGTTTGAGGATAGCTGCTTATGAAGAAGGAGGAAAATTTATTGGGCATCGGATATTACCAGTATCAGCAATTCGACCAGGTAGAGATTTGCATTATTGTTGTTGTTTTTGTTATTGCATTAATCTTGAAAGAAGGAAAGAAGTCAAACAGAACTCGGGTAACATGTTTCCTGCATATGTAAGTATACAGCTATGACAGGACTTACTGGGAGATGACATCTTGAGACCGAAGTCAGCTGAATCAGCCTCCTTCCCCTTGACTTTCCAGCCTGTTCCTTCCTGTGGAGATTGTTTGCAGGAGAAATGGCACTAAACCCTAATCCCAAAACTGGCGTTGACCATTTAGGAAATGACATGAGAAAGCAAGCTTTCACAAGCTGTCAAGTTGGCTTATCACTGAGAGGAGTTCCTGCTTTGGCCCACCATGTTATCAGTCCTTTCTCTAATTTCACGACTTTTCCCTTCTCTGAGAGGGCTTCTAGGCAGTTTGCAAGCCTGAAACACCAAATATTATCTTCCATTTATAATCCTCCAGTAGCAAATGTTAAGCCTTATTCTTTGAGCTTATCTTTGAGTTTTCTAACAAACCTGGACTTTCCCAAGGCTGCATATTGCCGGTCAAAGCACCTGAGCAGGTCTTCCCACTCTCTTTGGATTCAGGGAGCACAATTACATCGTGAGAACACATTAATGGGTGCTGACACAAAATGGCTGCCAGGTACTTTTCCAGTTCCACTATTCCAGATTTTGAATCAAAAGGCAATTTTCAAAATATAAAAATTCAGATGAAAGGAAGCCACATGGAGTCAGTTGAGTCATTGGGCATTTCAGGCACACAAAAATATTGTGATGGATGGGCCTTTGTTCTTTACAGCTTACTTTCATGAACTTGAACGTTAACCTTTACTCAATTTAAACATTTATCAGTTTTTCGTGATGTGTGCTTTTATTGCCTGCAGTGCTGCATTCGTTAACTAGTAAGAGAAATGGAGACCCAGAGAGAGTAGCTGTCCCATTGCTTTTCTCCCCTAGGTTATCATTATATTTGCCTGAGGAATGAAAGGAATCAGCCCTTGATGTTGCCAGCCATATTTGTATACATTGAAGTTAAAGATTACGTACCTGATACCTACGCAGGTAACTATCAAATTTATGAAGATAAAATAGAAATTTAACTTACAATTATTTTGTTTACAAAGCATCACATATTGTCAGCATCTGTAATAACTGAACCTTTGCATTAATAACTTGAGACAAAGAGTAGTGCTATACTTTCCTTGTAAACTACTGATATTGCTCCTTCTTGCACCCATCCTTGCTTTTTATGTCAAACTTGGAATTAATTCCTCTTCCTTCTCCTCTGGTTGCATTAGGCCCCTATTTTCTTTAAACTGACTTTGAAGATTAATAAATATAAAAAAATAAGCCTAAGTTTAAGATGATAAATCAGTTTTTATAAAAAGTCAGTGCTATTTGATAGAAAGCAGCATTGGGTTCTAAATCTGTCTCTCATTTGCAGATGTTATTGAGGCATTATCTAATCCAATCAGATACGTAAACCTGATGGAGCAGAGAGCAAAACAACTGGCAGCACTGACTCTAGAAGACGAGGAAGAAGTAAAGAAGGAGGTAAGAATTGGAGTTTGATGAAATAACAGAGGGGTCAATTAAGCATACTGCATGATGCTGTAAGATTGTAGAAAAAAAAATAACATTGTGAAGGGTATCCATAGTGGTAGGATTTAATTTATTTTACTACCAGTTCTATGGGCGTGGCTTGCTGGGCGTGGCAGGGGAAGGATACTGTAAAATCTCTATTCCCATCCCACTCCAAGGGAAAGTTACTGCAAAATCCCATTCCCTCCACATGCCACTAACCTGCTTTCCAGCTCCATTCTCCTGTGCAGGGCAACAAAAAAAGATCCAGCCAATCAGCTGGGACTCGGGAGGCAGAGAATAGATGGGGCGGAGCAGTTAGAGGTGGTAGTTGCCAGTTCTCCGAACTACTCAAAATTTCTACTACCGGTTCTCCGAAGTACTCAAAATTTCTGATACCGGTTCTCCAGAACTAGTCAGAACCTTCCCTTTTATTGTATCTATTTCATGTATTAATAATCATGTTTATACTTATATATATTATCAAATGCATGGCCTACGTTGAGATTTGCTCCTTTACAGAGAGATTGGGATAATCAAAAGGCATGCAGGAAATTGTAGAATCACTCATGTGGCTGGTCTTGTTCTACAGTGGACAGACTTTATTACTCAAAGTGATGACATTTCAATTTACACACATTTATATGCACTGCTCAGTAATGTTGTTGAATAAAGTGGTATTTTAAACATTTATGTATTTACTTGCTTCTTTGCTTTCAGAGGGACCGGGAATGTATCACTGAAATGTCTAAAATACTGAAGGCAGTCATAGGTATATCCAGACTCTGATTAATGTAAGTCTTTAAAGGAGACAGAAGCTATGACTCCAGGAAGACCTACACCGAGGGTCTTCAAACTTGGGCAAGTTTAAGACTTGTGGACTTCAACTCCCAGAATTCCTCCTCCAGTCATGTTAGCTCAGGAATTCTGGGAGTTGAAGTCCACAAGTCTTAAACTTGCCCAAGTTTGAAGACCCTTGACCTACACAGTATGGAGTTAATTGGTAAGGGAGGGTATTACCCTATCCTGAGTCATAAATCAACTATTTCTAGTCTTGGTTGGCTTCCAGATCCACAGTCACTTGAGACGAGTCTAAGCCTATTTCTCCCCATCCAGTTCCATGATCTAATAATGTCAATAGCAGTAACAGAAACTTTAAAAAGTTTTAGCCATTGCATTCTGCATTGCAGGTAAAATCTAATTCCATCATGTGTTGAAATGTGGATTTATTCAATGTAATTGGCTACTATAAAAAAAACATAATGGATTTCTTTTTTTTTAATCAGTTTCCTAAAATGTAACATAAGAGAAGTTAATGCCTTCCTTCAGAAGGTTGTATTTCCAGCATAAAATGTATATTACTGCATGTTTCTGTCAACAACATGCATTTGGATTGACATATATGAGCCAACTTTTACTATATACATTTGAATTTCTGTAAATTTAAAAAGCCTTAGACATGGAACAGCACATTTCTTTTCATTTTCATGACTGGAAAGAAATACTTTTCTTAATAATTGTCAACTTTTAAAACTACAAATATTGTTAAAAATATTAAGTGCAGTGGTTTTCTACAAAAATAATATTTTCTTCTTGAATCCAATAAGTGTCTTTAAACAAACTGCCTCTGGCAGAGACATCCCCCCAGAGGGGCTGTGTGAAAGAGCAAGGGGGCAACCAATAAAGGCAGTGTTATACCATTGTGCCACAAAGTCCATCTCTTTTGCACATGTGTCCTAACATCATACATACATACTAAAGGAGTGTAGATCATGACACTACTTTTATCATTTTGCTGAAAATATTACATCCTGCAGCATTTGGTCAAAGCTTCCATGGTCTTGGACAACTGAGTCATGGTTAGAGATCAGTCAAACAGAATCCACATATCTGGGAAAAGGACATAAATCCTGATGTATACTGTGTAAACCTTTCAAATAACTCAATCAATCAGCCTTTACCCCCAAATCTCCTATTTGTAATATCTGGTTACCTACTTATATTTCTCAGCCCTGTTCATACAGATTTCTTCCTCCAGTTATTGTAATTGAACATTTGTTTTCTAGATGCAACAGCTTCCAAAAATAAAAATGCAAATCACAACAAATCCCAAATTAGGAAAAGAAAGATAAAGCGCTACTCAATTGTTTTATTCATCTTCATCAACCATGCTTGAATTAGCATGCCATAGTCATAATTCAACAAGTCTGAACACCTGTGTGTTAAGATTCCCCCATTCCCGAGGAAATCTTCCTTTCTTGCCTTGTTTTATGTGCCCTAGACTGTGTGATAAATCTGCTGCATTGCTCCAGATGCAGTTATCTTTCAGCACCAGGTGAGGGATCCCTCCACAAACAATTGCTCTGGCTGCAATTCAGCACTACATCAATGCTTCTGTAAGCAGCTTCTCCCCAGCTCTTAAGACACTGCATTTTTTGTTCCAGCAAAATAAATATCTTTGTAATGAAGAGCCAAATAAATGCCCATATCTCTCTATGAGCTAGCTGTTTTAATCTGCGAAGCTGCCAAGCTTTTATTTATTTTATTTATTTTCCTTTTTTCCTCTTGTTCTTCCTTTTATTCAGTAGGTGCCAATAAACAGAATTCAATATAGAATTGTTTATTAGTTACCTCACCTCAATTTTTTGGGAGGAAATGAAAACAAAAAAAATCCTGCATTTGAGAGACTTTTTGTAAAGTATTGTAAATAATAGTATTGTAAATACTATTATTGTAAATAAATACTTTATTTACATACTTTATTTATTGTAAATAAAGTATTGTAAAATATGGTCAGTCAGAGCTAATTTACATCTGGTATCCTCTGAGGTACTGAATTGGAGGAGGGAGAAAAATCTTACCAGCAGTGTTTAATGCTCAGTCCTGCAAATACAGAGTTTGCAGTTTCATTTATCCCACCCCGTTGTTCAACCTATACATTCTTATTAAAAAGGTGAAGGGTTTTGAGAAAAGAGCTGTCTCTTTCCCCCTCCCAACAGTTTATTACCAGTGAAGAATGCTAATGAAAACCTCCAGAGAAGCTAATCCAACAAGGTACCATGGCAACAGGTTCTCCTTATATAAATTTTCGTACCTCAAGGAGGCAAACTGCTTAGCAATGCTCTGTAACTATGGATCTTCTTCCCCCTTCCATTTGTGTAGCAGGAATCTTCAGTCTCCTCCGATAAATAGGACCTTAAGGAAGGAGGGAGAGGATTAGTGCCTAGAAAAAAGCAATGAACTCTAAACATGGGCATTAGATCTGGTAAAGGAAGTACAGGTTGTGGGGAATGTTTAAACAGGTTGAACGGTACAGGCATACTCATCCAAGCATGCGGAAAGGATGGAGGTACTGTTTACGTAAGCTTATCTGTTGAATATAATTATGGGTGAGCTGTCCTGGGAACTATTGCTGTGCCTCAGTGGTGAATTAGTAATCAGACTTTTGGGACACAACCCTGAAAGGAAAGCGAAAGAAATCATTCTCTGTCATGGTGTTAAGTGGTAACTGGTGCATTCTGCTGATGTCCTTGTATTTGCGTAGTTATTACCTTAAAACGTAGTAGCCTACAGAGTTCTGTAGACAGAAATGGGATGATCTTGACTTACTGGCATGCCTAAGCCTAGCTTTTCTTTTTAATTTCAGGGATAATAAATTTGGATGAAAAGCAATTAAAGAAACAGACTTTTAAAATGTTTGTTATTGTCATTTTCCACTGGCAGGCTTAATTGACATGGTGATTCTTTATAGCTAAAATTAGTGGTTTATTTTACAAACATGATCTATAGCTTCTGCAGCTTTCCAGGCGGGATCTCTGTTCATTTAGGTTTATTTAATTAATTAATTTTGCAATTGGATTGTTCCTATTTATTTGTTAAAATCATAGTTTTTTATTTTTTAAAAAACATAACCCTTCTATTTCCCGGTAAATAATCAGAAGAATTGAACAGTATAATCATGATAGCTTGATATATTTTATTTTTCAAGCCTTTTTTTGATGATGAAATGAGAAGAGATGAGGTACAATTTTTTTAGCAAGGAACAATTTGAATAAATCTTAGTCCAAGAATACCAGCGTTTGTTATGGGCAAGAATCTGTACGTGTTGAAAGCAAAAACCTTGTGCAAGTTTTCTAATCATAAATCCTTTTTCATATTTTATGGGTATTGTTTTGAATTGTTAGGCAGAACAAGATGTACCTTCAGAAGCTCACAATGAACCTAAACCTACACCAGCAGAAAATGGAGTAAATTGCACTACATCTCTCATCCCTAAACCTTCTACTCAGGTTGTTCCAAGCCAACCAACACTGGGTAAGAACTATACTATAGTGCATGATTTTGGGATTATTCTTCTATTGGAAAAAAGAAAAAGTAAATTTCTCCTGGCAAAAAATCTCAACAGATTACATCACTTTTGATGAATACATCATCTATATTTGTGACTGCTTAGAAAGCAATGCTTGCAACAAATCTCTGTTCTTATCTTCCAATTTGGAAGGAAGGAAGGAAGGAAAAGGAAGGAAGGAAGACCATTGTGAATAAGTGCATCTTATCTAGATTCAGTGGTCTGTGTTCTATAGCAGGCATCCCCAGAGGAAGAGTGACAGAGAAATAAAATTATAAAAGAAGAAAGGCTAGAACATTGGTTCTGAACCATGGGCAAGATCATGGGCAACTGGCAATTTCTGAGTCTCCTGGGGGTATTGTTAGATAAAGTCTGTGTTATATGTACACATCTTGAAGAAGTTTAGGATATAGATGAAGGATCAGTTGAACTGGGGGGCTTTGAGACTAGATAGAAAATGCTAAAGACATTCTGTGGTCGAATTTGGCTGTGTCTTATTTAGACCAGCTCTAGTGCTTTATCAAGAATATGATCAGAGTTTATAAACTCTAGGAAACCATTTGCTAGAGAGATTTTGGTTGTATTGTTGTTGCTTATGGTTGAAGCTTATGTGGCAAAAGTTTTGTTCTAGGATAGTCAAAACCAGTGTGATTCAAGAAGCACAAAAATATATCAGGTCACTGATATTATGACCCTGCTAAAGAACTCAATTCCAGTATGTGACCTTTTAGACTTTCAGTTTTCAAGGAAAAATAATTCAGACTTAGCAAGGATAGAACAATCAAGTTTCATTCTTTGGAGGCTGCATATTTAGCAGAAATAAAGAAATAATGAACATATCCAATGCAGGATTAAGACATTTAAATCCCCAGAATAATATTTTAACGCTCAAATATCTCTTCATGTGTGAATTTCTTTTTTAAAAAATCAGTTTTTTTCTCATTATATCTATTGTCTTCAACCCTCAATCCTTGCAGGCAATTCAGAAGAATATCATAATCAATGGTAGTCAATATTACCAAGATATCTAATGGGACACACTTAGTAGGTCATCCACCAGAACAATTAATGTTGTCTCAGTCCCATGCCCTGGTCTGAATTGCAACTGAAGAAATCCAGATAATTCATTACCTCCAGAACTTTTGTAGCTGAAAACCCTATCCATTTCTGCAAAATCTATCAAAAAATTAAGATTGTAGAATGAATGGAAGTTGTCCAAGTTTCTGGGTTAAGAGGTGATCTCTTCATGGGGAAATTATCATTGCCTCCATTGAGTGTAAAGACATCACTCCTGCCTTCAAAAAGTATATCGTAAAAAGTTTCTTAATTGTTTTTTTGGAATTCTTCTATTCTTACAAAATAGCCCCACATAATCTAACAACGGGATTACCTTACTAAACTGAGCAAGCAGCATCCATTTCAGAGTGAATGTCAGCAATTTTGTTTGCAAAGATTTCACAAAGTATTTATTGCCTGCAGAAGCATCTTCTGCCCTGCTTTTATTTCAAAAGGATGTGGGAAACTTTGAAGAACAATGTCAGAGAGAGAGAGCAAGGGAAACAAAAATACATCTTGCTGTCCTTAGATTCTTATCTCTTCTTAACATTGAAGTCCATTAATCTCCAGGGCACCTGAGCAGGGAAAGTCTGCCGTAACCCAATCTTAGGAACAGGATTGAAAGGATGGGGCACCCATCTAGTTTATCTTCTTGAGAGTACAAGTTAACTATGAATAGTTGATCCTTTCCCCCAGCTAAATGTCATCTGCATTAGGTCCCAATGGACAGACTTTCTCCTTTAAACAGAAAGCATCATTCTGAGGTCACAAAGGCCATGTCTTGTGACGTGGGCAACATTAGTATGAAATCACAATGGCTAGCCTCACCTTCTGGCAATCATTGAAACAAGCAGCCGTGACAGAGTGAGGCAATATGCCTTTTTCTTATTTACATTCATGGGGCAGAGTAACCAGGAGGATTGATGCATAATTTATTTATTATCAAGATAAATAGTAGCAATGTTTGGCCACATCGTTCACCTGTAAGTATATACCTCCCTGAACACCCAACCTCAAGTTCAATAAGTGACTTGGACCACTTAGGGTAATGGAGGCTCTTACTGTCCCAGAGATAATAGGGACAAAAGTTTCTTCATCCTGCATGGGGTAGGTATAGACAGAGAGATAATGTGTCTTGCATCCTGGCACTAAAGTACAGCCCCAGTTTAATTTTAAATATATACTCACGTGTTAAGAAAAGGAACTAACACCATCAAATAATTAAGAGGCAATTTTCTATCATCTGGTCCAGAGATGTATTTAAAATAATGTTTAGCCTACTTTTCTCTTATGAAGCTTTCAAAGCAGCTAATATAAATGAAAAACAAGAGACTGTATTTAAAGCCACAAAAAACACAATGAGTACATCAAAGCCTCAGTCAGTCAACAGGTTTTAGGATCGAAAAAGTAGATCAATGAAATAAAACCAGGCTTTCATCTTATGCCTGAAGATTCAGAGTTAGGACTAGACAAGCTTCAGCCAATGAGCAACTCTGAATTTGGAGTGGCCACTGACAAAACTACTTTCATGTAGATGCTAACTTAGTTTCAAAGGGGCAGAACTAGCTGTTCTGTTATTACAGGCTGGTCAGATGGATTTGAGGACTGGTAGTAGATTGGGAAATCTTGATCTACAGCTAAAGCATGTTATGTGTCAATATGGCACAAACAAGAATGGCATTATATCCTCTGGTTCTTTCAGAGCCAATGAGAAGAATGACCCCCTGTGAAGTTTTATATTCATAATTTCAGGCTAATTGAAATATCGATGTTATTTACACTTAGGTTCTGTGAAAGTTCCAGCCAAAACAGAAGATCTGATTCAGAATGTCCTGACAGGTAAGAAACGTGATCGTGCTGTACAATAGTATATTTTAAACAAATTAATGGGAATGTTGCAAGAAACAGTATGCCACATACAAATAGCTATTTTAATCTGTTTATTGTTCAAAATGTCTTCCTGGTGGTCTTTAACTATCCTCTAGAACAGCGGTCGCCAACTGGTGGGCCATGGCCCACTGGTGGGCCACGAGAAAATTTTGGTGGGCCGCAGAGAAATCTCACCCCCAGAGTACACCCCCCCAAAGCAATTAATCCAGGCTGCACAGAAGCACAACGCTGCACCACCCACATGGCCCGCAGGAACCCTCCCTGCCCACTCATTCTTTACGTGGAAAACTTGTCTGCTAAATTGCTATTTTTCCTTTTTCCGACCAACAGCTGTTCTGCTGTGCCAGGAGATTTAGATTAGCTAGGAAGTAGGAAATGGTTGGATTTCTTGCTTTCTAGCTAGTCTTTAGATCTTTGGCTCTGCTTTTAAGCACAGCTGAACCTCCCTTAGGACTGAAGGTTCTATTATTCAGTGCAGACTCATGGCAAGCAAATTTTATGTGACAGACTGAGCTAGCCGATGGCAGATAGATAGATATCTGAATGAATCTGTGATTCTGTGAGCAACTCAATCTGCCTGCCTGCTTTGTCTGATTTTGGGTAAAAGTTGCTCTTTTTTAAAAAAAGAAATATATCAATATTTATATATATATTTATAATATTTACATATAAGCCATGCCTAGCCAGTCACATGACCACCAAGCCACACCCACAAATTAGGCCATGCCCACAGAACCGGTTAGTGGTCCCTGGGATTTAAAAATATGATTTTGGTGGTCCCTGAGGTCCAAAAAGTTGGCGACCTCGATCTATAAAGAACAATTATATATTTAAGGGATTTTAAAATTAAGGAATGAGGCCAAATTACTGGAACGCACCAATTTCATCCCAACAAGATGAATAACTGGGATCCAAATGATGACTGAGTTTAGTACTGACACCAGATTTAAGGATCCAGGATTCATTTGCACATGTTTGAATTTGATAAGTTGGCATATAAACAGCAATGCAAATAATAGATTTAATAGAGTTCCCTCCAAGTGTCAGTAGTTTCTACATGGCATGATTAAATAATTCTTGAATTTGCTGTGTAAATTCTATTCACTTTAGAGCAAAAAGTTATAGTCAAAACAAAAAATCTTAAAGCTGTACACAAGCTCTTGTGGGTATATATGAGCATACACAAGTAGATATCTTTATCCTTTTCTTCTCAAAAAACAATACTGGATCATTTACTCTTTTCAAACACAGGAAAGAGCAATGAGTTAGATGTGCAATCTGCTTGCATAAAGATATGGCTAAGGTGCATCTTGAGACAAGCATTCTGTATCCTTATGTGTGCTGGTTAGATAATTATGAATAACCCATACTTTGCTGATCTGACGTGAAGAACATGTTATAAATTTACATAGCAGATATAACTAGAATAACAGATGTACTTACGTAAGATATACTTTGCTTTTGTAAAAAAAGAAAGAAAGAAAGACTGAATTGGGTCATTTTTATATTGTGAAATGTATTAATAAATGTGGGGGTTATTTACTAGTATTTCTATCTCCAGGTGAGGTGATTCAGAAGTCTAAACAACAATGGCTCATGAAACAAAATAAACCAAATTGAAATATCTTTATCTTTCAGATACCTGAATTACATAATTCATAAAGGGTTGAAACTCTTTGAATTATATAATACTGATAAGATCACATAAAGACAGGAAGACCTTGCTGTAGTGGATATGTACCTGTGCAATTCAGAGGAGCACACATGCAATGTAGCGTACAAGTGTAGTGCACAATGTACAGTGCAGTATACAAATGCAATGCAGTACAAGTGCAGTGCTATAATCAATTCAACCAAATACAAATGCAGTGATTTATATTTGTGAATTCAGATTAGTACAATGCACTACAGTAACCCATAACACCAAAAAAGGAAACAAACTGCCCATACAATACCTTCCAACAAAATAGATACTCAACCCACTACAGCACAACAAAGACAAGTTCTGAAAAGAATTATACTACTATGCATCAAAAACATACAAAAAACAACCAACTGCCTACCACAACCACATAGCTTCACCATAGCACATAAACCAACTAAAAAACCCCCAAAACATAACTAAACCAAAAAACCCAGCAGCCCAAGAAGGAAAAAAAGGAATCGTCTACAACAGAGTGTAAAAACTGTTCACAACCACTATGTAGGATAGACAGTTAGAAGACAAAGCACATCTATGAACACCAACTAGCAATCAGAAGACACAATGAAAACTTAATTTTACAACACACGGACAGACTCAATTTCAATTTCAAATCAGCTGTCAATACACACATAGAAATAAATCATAATTATACACCACTCAAAAGAGACAATAAAAAACAAAGAAGTACAAAAATATATCAAAACACATCCTTCTAGCAGCCAATACCCAGATAAGCAGGGATTAGCACCAGGCAAACAACCAAGCAGAAAAAACAACAACCAAGAATCTATCAAGGAGAAAACCACACCATCATCAAAACTGACAGGACAAGCTACTGTATATAAACAGGGAGCACATCCCACACCTACACTGATGATGTTACCTAACTGAGGCAGTGTTTACAAGCAAACAACCAAGCTCAGAGAGCACCAGGACTCCACAGTTCAATCCTAAACTATATACCTTCTCTTCTATTGGAGTAAGAGAGTTGCTTTTAAATGCAACTTCATGCAGTAGCAGCAAAATCCTGTTGATAAAACTGCATGTTCCCAGCATGTCTAATGTTGTGCGGTGATAACATCATTTCTCTTATTCTTGCAGAAGTTGAAGCACAAACCATTGAAGAGCTAAAGCAACAGAAGGCCTTTGTGAAACTTCAGAAGAAGCACTACAAAGAAATGAAGGATCTTGTGAAGAGACATCACAAAAAAACAACAGATCTTATAAAAGAGCATACCACAAAATATAATGAAATTCAAAATGATTACCTACGACGGAGGGCAGTGTTGGAGAAAACAGCTAAAAAAGACAGTAAGAAAAAGTATGTCTATCTTCTTACAAAGGTTCCTTTGGCCTTTCTTGGAAATAGTTTACTTCCCAACTGGGTCTCATGTCCCCTTCCAGATAAGACTGGAGCTTCCATTATGCTGTGTGGAGCAACTTCTGTTGGTCTCTTTTATATAGATATGAAGCCACTTTGATGCCGAAGCTTCTGCCATTCATGCCAGTGACAAATTGATCCAGGGATTGGTAGGGCATGTAGTTAAGAGTAATATTAAGAAAAGTTGACCATAAACAGGTATCTGTCTTACAGCTCTCTGGACAGGCCTATATTAACAGGATAGCAGAGTTGGAAGGGACCTTTGGAGGCCTTCTAGTCCAACCTTCTGTTCAGGCAGGAAACTTTATACCATTTCAGACAAATAGTTGTCCAATCTCTACTTAAAAACCTCCAGTGCTGGAGCACCCACAACATCTGGAGCAGTGGTGGTATGCTACCAGTTCAGACCGGTTCTAGTGAACCGGTAGTTTAAAAAAAGAGCCTCCAACGATCAGCTGAAAGGAGGGGGAAAAGTGAAGAGAAAGAAGAGAAAAGAGCAGGATCAGCCCTCTCACCTGCTCCTGTGGTTTTCTCTCAGCTGATTGGCGCTGCAGGCCCCAGCTGGTGTGGGGAAAGCTGTGCATGTGTGTTAGGTGCATGCTTGCGCGATCACCGAACCAGTAGTGGAACAGGTAGGCTCGCACTACTGCTGATCTGGAGGCAAGTCATTAATTAAGTAGAGAATTAAAAGAAGTGCTTAGTGTCTTTTGACTGGTGTCATTAGATTTTTTTAACACAAAAAATATATGTGGGGGAGAGAAATGGGTAGAGGTTTTCAGCATTAAGCTCTTGCCAAATGTTGCAGGTGGTAGTGCTGTGAGAGAAGAGCTACATGCAGCATGCATACATCTGAATGTCCATTAGAGAGAGGAAGGCCCTCGTCCATATCCCATCAGCTTACAGAAAGTTTTAGGTGACAAACCCAGTAACTAGGTCAACATTCAGTGCCAATGGATTTAAGCCATTTTCCACTTGGGTAGGTGTTCCCAGCCTCAAAATATGAGAGCATTGTCAGGGTGGGTTTCTAGATTTGAGTTGCTACGCTTCTTTCTTATATTTGCACAAATCTCACATTGTGTTTGGTGCTTGATTATTACCTTTCTTCAGCTGGAACTTGGTCCTTCAGCCATCTCTCCTTTTAAGCTTGTGGTTTCCTAGGCAACTGGCTTAATACCTAGGTAGAACTATAAGCATTTCTGATATAACTGTCAGGGCTCAGGGAGATGCATTTCGTGTATATCAGCCTGGCTTTTAATTTTTGGGGTGGTGGGGGGGTTGGAATGTACTACTGTTACTATTTAGTTTGCAGTTGCTCTGTTTGGTTCACATGCTCCATTCATTGCTCTCCCTTCTCACCTCACTTTTATAGTAGAAATTCTTTCCCAAGACCAAAAATATCACACTGTTCCTTAGGGAGTTTTGTTCAGTTTCCATTTTGCGCAGATTATTTTTCTCATTTGGGTTTTGTATGTTGTTCCAGGCTTGCTTTCCTTTGGCAAATCTTTGGTCTTTATGAACTTTGCTCTTTGCAGTTCATTAAATAGTTTCACATTTAGGATGCTATGCAGTTTGGGGATGCTCAGGTTTTTTTTTTAAAAAAAAAATTGATTTGGTAAGCTTTATGAATTGTGAAATAATGCTAATCTCAATGACACTCATAATATCATTGGATGAAACTAATGAAACCCAAAGCTTCAATATTTTGTCTTATTTCTCCAATATTCATTGAAAAGTCATCAATTTAGTTACCTGACAATAATAATCTACACCAGCGGTCACCAATCTTTTGGATCTCAGGGACCACCAAACTCATACTTTTAAATCCCGAGGACCACTAATACGAATTTTTTTAAAAGCTAATATATTTAATATAATTTTGTATGTTAAATATAAATTATATATATATGTATGTGTGTACATGTGTATATATACACATATACATACATAACATACATGTAAGTACCCGCAAAAACTTAGGAAAACAAATATATATATAAGACTTCCAAATGATTGACAGTTCAATGGCACCAAAACCCTAGCCACTATAGAAAACCCGAGCCACAGGATTATCAGAGAAGCCTTAGAGATTGAAAAAAGACCTGAAAGCATGAACAGAAGAGATGATTCCACCAGACTGTCAATCATTTGGAAGCCTGCACTCACAAACAAAAAAATCTCCACACCACTAGCCAGGCAAACACCTGGGCACAAACAGATCCCCGCTGATACCTCCAGTTCAAACACACCCCAACCAGGCACCCAGATGAAACCTAGCTTCCTAACAAGTGATAGCCGTCCATTTACTCGAAGCCAAGCTGCACTAAAAGCCTCCAATACAGGAACACAATGTTGCCAGCCAATCAAGACACAAAAAAAGCCACAAAACAGACAGAAGATATTAGAAACACCAATCAAGCAGAACATGGCAAACTCCAAGACCAATAAACACAAACCAAGACTCTCAACCAATCAGGATGAAGAAAAAACCATTGTGGCACAGCAGTAGGCTAGCCCCAAGTTTAAAACTGAAACCGCTGTAAAAGCCTGACTCACAGACGAACACAATACAGAAGCCTGATGATGGCAGATGAGATTCTGCCAAAACGTTACTACAACTTTAAAAGCACAACCACAATGACGTGGGAAAATACCCGAACAAAGCTGAATAACTAACATACATACATACATACATACATACATATATATGTATATGTATATACATATACATATACATATACATACATACACACACACATATATGCATATACATACATGATTCACACACACACACACACACACACACTTATTTAATTATAACAAAAATGTAAATGCTTAATGATAACAAAATAAAATGTTCTGGACTAGAACACTCCCCCCACCTGGCACCTTCCAAAGAGACAGACAAGTGGGCGGGGTGTGTGTGTGAGGGGCCTCGGGGCAACTGCCGCTGGGAGAAGCAGAGGTAGAAAGGGGGTTTTGCTCTCCTTGGGGGGCAGTACCCCTTGGCTGCCACTCCAGGGGTTTCTCAGCAGGCATCTGCCTGCAGAAGGGCTGCTGCCCTTATTGATTAATTGGGGAAGGGGAGGGGGAGAAAGTGGGAGCTCCTTTCAGATCCCGGGTGGAGGATTGAGAGGTTCAGATCTGCAGCTGAGGAAAAGCTGGGGTGGGGGGCGCTCTTCCAGCCTCACCTGGAGACAGGCAAGGAAAGGTGTCCCTGGGGGCACTTCGCTCGCTTTAGCACTTTGCTGCCAAACCCAGCCATAGCCAGTGATTATTTGGGGGTGGGGGGGAGAGAGAAAGCATCTCTCGTGTTACCCGGTGAGGAAAAGAGGTGAAACTGTTCCATATTAGCAGGCTTGAAATCCTGCGTTCCTATTGGTCCAGAAAAGCCGGATCGTGATTGGATGGCTTGAACGTTCCTGATTGGCTCATACAGGGTTTGCCGCGATTGGCTGAAACTAAGCGCGGCAAAGAGTTGTCATTGGCTGCCTAGCCACGGCCAGCTCTATAGGAAGAGCTGCCGCACGCTAGGGTTTTTGTCGCAGAATCTATCTGTTAAATAAAGAGGTGTTGTTCACTACTCAAGCCTCGTCTATTCATGCGACCCACCGACCATACTTAACAGAAACAAAACTCACTGTTTCACTGAGACCTACAAAATGCCAATCTACCATGTTCCAGGAGTTCTTTGAAATCATCAAACGCTCTCACTTGCAGTTTCCGTGCCTCCTGGTTCAGGTCCCTGAGATGCTCGCTCCCACACATGGCAGCAACAGCAGTCCCCTCCCCCAGCGCCCGCTGTCAGCTCTCCCCATTAGTTTTCTAGCTTTGAATTGCTCCTGGCTCTCTCTCTGTCCTCCCGCCCCCCCACATGCAGGCAGGAAAGGAAAGGGAGACGGAGCCATGCACAGCTCCCCCCTTTTTCAGCCCTTGCTGCCTCTCCCAACATTGAAGCCTCGGAAACGCAGGCAAAGCTGCCACAGCAGTAGCACCCTGAGTTGCTTGCTTCTCCACTATTGCCTCCTCATCCTCCAGCACCACTTCCTTCTCTGGATAGGGCAATTCTTAACTAACCGAGCATGCTAAGGCAACTCAGGATGCTACTGCTGCGGCGGCTTTACCTGCATCTTCAAGGCTTCGATATTGGGAGAGGCAGTGAGGGTGGGAGAGTGGAGAGCTATGAATGGCTCCTTTCCTTTCCTGCCTGCATGTGGGCGGGGGGAGGAAAGAGAGGTGGGAGCAATTCAAAGCTAGAGAACTAATGGGGAGAGCTTACAGCGGGCACTGGGGGAGGGGACTACAGTTGCCGCCGCCACAGGGTGTAGGAGCTGGTTGGTGCGTGCATCTCAGGGACCCTGACTCCGGGGTCCCTCCGAGAGCCAGAAGGAGCGAGAACTGCACAGGCCAGATTAATTGCTTTTGGGGGCCATTTCTTTTGCGGCCCACCAAAATTTTTCCATGGCCCACCGGTTGGCGACCGCTGATCTACACCAACCTTCATCCCTTTCTGTTATACCATTGCTGTTCCTAGCAGCTTTCTTTTACGGATTTTATAGAAATTGAATTAAATTCATGATTGCTGTCTGAATGCTCTGGTCATCCAATATTTTAGTAAATGAAGAGTTCTCTATACATATGTGAACATCAGATGCATATTTGCACACTTGCACAAGACAAGGGAAAAAAGAGTTAAAGAATCTTTGAGAGGTCAATGTTACATTGGCTAATGGAATAATGGGAGCATCTGGGGGATAAGACCTCTGTATTTGTATTGCTGCAATTTATATTTATTATTCTGTATTGTGCTGTAGAAGTGAAACCGGCAGCCCAGATCACAGTCCTTCAACTGTTGAACAAGAGTTGGCTGCTCTTGATTCAGAAATGACACAGAAGTTAATAGAGCTCAAAGAAAAACAGCAGCAGCAGCTGCTGAATCTTCGACAAGAACAGTATTACAGTGAAAAGTACCAGAAACAAGCACATATTAAATTGGTATGTACCATACATAAACATTGCTTCCCTACTTTGTATGATGAATACTACTGCAAACATTGCACACAAATCTAGTTTTGGTCTCTTCAGAACCTACCTATGGAGGTTTCTCTGTAACCCATCTGATGCCTTTGCTCCTTGGCATTGTGTATGGATCTATTTGCTGACATATATCTCCATATATCTTGGCATGGGACAGTTGGAACAGTGTGTGTGTATAGCAGGTATTTTAAAATTTTAGGGCAACCAGAAATATATATTACACTCTCTTTAGACTTGTTGGTTCAATGTAATAGATACACAAATGTAATTTGTATTAAGTTATTTAATTAATCTTTTTAGTGTCAGTGTCTTTCCTACTTTATGTATTTGTGATTATTGAGAGCAGATGCAAATCTTTCAGTTTTGCTCACCACAAATAACAAAGGGTGAGCTCTGATATATATTGTTATGGTGGTAATACTATTGCTTGGGGATCTTTGCCTCTTCTAGCTTTGAAACTTAGACTGTCATGCTATGCCTAACGCAATGCTGTCACTCTAAAGTTTCAGAAAGCATTTCAAAATGAGCAGTTAAATTAGTGTAGCCTATAAAATTGGAAGCAAGAGCTTTGATACCACTAAGATGTCTTCTAACTACTTGTTTGTGCCAGAAAGCCTCCAGTAAATTTATGTGTTCTAAATGGAAGCTAGAATACAAGCTATAAAGAACAAAACAATATTGTGTATTTATTGTCCCCAGAGCAGCTGTTATTTTTACAGCTGTGATTCAGGCGCCCTGCATGGAGCAGCCCTTTGGGCTAAATGAAGAGTCTGATCAGATAATAATAGATGCTTTAGAATATAAAGAAAAAAGAATGAGGCAATGGAATATTACTATTATTTCAATCTGTCCCAGAATGTGTATTTGTTGAAATGTATGATATTGTAACAAGCCTGGCTATTTTATTCCATCTGTATAATATGGTAAAACAGATTAGTGTTGTTAATTTATTAAGCCATATGAACCAGAATAGGGAACTGGTATCACAGTTCACAAGTATGATTGTAAACATAGCTTCCTGTTAAAAGGCATGAAATTCCAGTCATACCACTGGCAAGATAATTTAAACACTTATCCATCCACACTAAGCATATGCTGCTATATACAGAAAACTTATCTGATGCTGAATCATAGAATCATAGGGTTGGAAGGGACTTGGAGTCCAACGCCCTGCTCAAACAGGAGACCTTATACCATTCTGGACAAATTGTTGCCCAACTTCTTCTTAAAAACCTATTATTGAAAAATTATTGAAACGTATTTCTCAATTTCACATGAATGTTCCCAGGAGAAAGGCATTAGGGCCCACTTGGGATCAGCGGAAAAGTTTCAGTGGCCCAGGCATCTGTTCAATAACAGGAAAAGTGATGGGAGAAACGTGCTCTTTGAGGCTTTCATTCCTGATTGAGGGATCAAAGAGAGTTGATCATCACAGAACAGTGCTTTGCATGATGCCTAACTCTATATGCCTTGATCAATCCTCATGATTGGTTAATATACTGTAATTGCTGAAAGTTCCCATTTACTTTTCACAATGTGTAATATTTCAAATCAGTATTTCTTGATTTCACATGAATACATAACTGTGGAAAAATAGCCATGGTGTCCTTTGACAAGTCTCTAAAATTCTTTCTGATAGGATGTTCTTAGGCAGAAGTCTCCAAACTTAGCAACTTTAAGACTTGTGGACTTCAACTCCCAGAATTCCTTTGCTGGCTGAGGAATTCTGGGAGTTGGTGCACAAGTCTTAAAGTTGCCAAGTTTGAGGACCCCTGTTCTTAGGTTTCAAAGCATCACAATGTTCAAGTTTTTCATGAAAACAAGCCGTTTATTTAATACTGTATATTGAATCTCATCTCTGTGCCATCCCAGTTCAAGTCTTAGTTTGCTAAGATTAGGCAAAATATTTTTAATTGATGCTCTGGGATAAAATAGTCCTGCAGTAGTATAGTAGTATCTTTGCTCCAGTTGAAGACAACATTCTTGGGACTCCTAACTTAGCATAACAATTTATATCTCTACTTTTATTCAACTTCTGTGGATTGAAGAACTGCCAGCTGGAAGAAGGCAGTGGCAAACAACTTTTGAAAGTTTTGCAAAGCAAACTATAGAGGCTTGTCCATCATCAGGAGTCATGGCTGCTTCGAAGGCACAAAATCATTCATTAGAACTTATTGCTGATTAATTTGTATATATTTACTTTTAATTCTATATATTTGGTCCAGTGGTACTGTAGGTTTTCAAATCAAGTTTTCAGAACTTGAATTTTTAAATACTGTAGCAATTTGCTTGATTGTGCTTTCTGATGAGCGGATGGATTCTTATATGAAACATAATGGAATTTGTTCCTCATTCACTATTCTGTCATACTAAAGTTATTTTAGCATGATAACAATTAAGAATAATGTGATATTTGTAGTGCATTGGAAATTAGTAGACAGAAATGGGTGATCACAAGGTATCTATCTGCAGGAAGCCTTAAAATAACAAGATGAGATACAGAGGTTCATAGATACAGTCCATGTAGGCCTGGTGGATTGTCTTAAGTTACCTCTCTCTTTTGGATGAGATTGGAAAGTAACAGGGAGCAAAAATTCATCTGTCCTTGCATTAAGCATTATCAGCTCTTGACAGCATTGTCCCAGATCTAAACCATACAAGTCTGTATAGACCATAAGTCCTGTTCTGGTTAAAGGCAGGTTTTAGATTCAAATTAAATGTCTTCATGTTTGGGGCAAATTATTTCCATTTATTATATATGTAGAAGCGTCCTTACCATTGGACAGAGTAAAACACGTAGATTCAAGTAATGAATGTAGCAATATCCAGATCTAATTCTGGCTATTTTGTTTTCTGATTCTTTCTATAATCCTGAGGTAAGTGGTAGTAGTGCTTATTCTTTGCTGGCCTGATCTGATTGGGTTGATTATTTTGCCGAATTATTCTCTCCAGCTTGGCACAGGTGGGAAATGTCCCCTGACTGTGCCAATAGAAGGATGATTATTCAAGGAGTAATCACGTATGCATGTATATATGTATGTTGCTCCAATGATATGATATAAGCTCCTGACCTATTTAAGTCAATATTAGTGGTAGCTTTCTAGCACTCGTGGTGGGAGTCTTATCTTAGTCCTTCCTGAAGTTTTTGCCTGCCAGTTGCTCTCTGATGAAGCATCCATCCCAAGGGTGGAGCAGGTAGAACCCTTAAGCCTCATTATACACGTAGTCCTCAAGAAATGACAGGCCACTTAATGACCATCCAAATCAATCAACACTCCAAAACTACAAATAACCTATTTCAAGGTTATGACAGATGCGGCACTCACATGGTCATTCGCACTTACAACAGACCAGAGGAATGCTGCAGTGCCTTTGCTTGCCGCCTTCCCCTCCCCTCCCCACACAGTACTTAGACTTGTTCCCCATGACTCCTGGAAGCAGCTGCCATTTTCAGCACCCCAACAAATTCCTTGCTAAAATGGTGGCTGCTTGCAGAGCTTTCTCCGCTAATCAGCTGTCTGCCCATCAGCTGTCCATAGGAATGCTGCAAAGCTCTCCTGCCTCTCTAGGCTTTGGGCTTACTCGAGGCTAAACAGTAGAGGAATCAAATGAGCAAGGATACAAAATGTTTCTGCAGCTTTTTTCCACTGAAGTAAAAAACAAAAGTTATCTCTAAAAGTTGTGCCAAAAAATGGGGGGTGCTTGGTCTTTGCAAGCTTTAGCTCTCCTCCTGGCTGCCTAGATAGTCCAGCTAGCACTTAAAGGCTGGACTAGCTATAGAAAAAAAACAATTCTCTTCTTGCTTGCTTGGTTCCTCTTTGATTCAGCCTGGAGTCAAGTTATAGTTTCAAAAGAGATATTGGTTGGAAAGCAGAGGGACAGTTTAGTTTTAGCACCTAACTGGGTCGGCAGGAGGTGGGAAGAAAGATCAGTGAGTCCATCCCTACCAGCTTCTTTGTTTTTTATTATTGAAGAAATGTGGCTTTTGGAGGGGGAAGGAAGGGGGCGTTAAGGTAGGGAAAAGTTTTGGGAAGCTCGTCCTGAAGCTACCTTTTGTGCAAAGGCCCTCTTCTCAAAGCCTAGAGTGGCAGGAGAGTTTTGCGCCCTCCCCATGGACAGTTGATGGGTGAACACCTGATTAAAGGGAAAACTCCAAAAGGGTTAGGGAACTAGTTCTTGTTTTGCCCCAGAAAAGCAGAATATATTGGCAGGAGGAAGGGCAGATGCCGAATTAGGAAAGACAGGTGAGCCCAGGGTTTTCCTTCCCCGTTGTTTCTGGTTGGCAAGTAGTCCGCTATGTTGCGGCCCAGTATCTGGGGATGGGGGAGGCCTGAGGCAGGAGGCCTGGTGCTTGCATTAGGTCTTCCAGGATCTTCCCCTATTCCTACTTAAAGGCCCACGCACTCATTTAATGAATGCATTGGGGAGAACAAGAATGGTCATTACTTGAGACAGTTCATTTTACATTATTTTGATCTTCTACCCTAATGGGTAGGCTCTATTAGGATCACAACCTGAAGATTACCTGTGCAATTCTTACCAACTGAACGTGGCTGGTACAATTTATGACATATCTTTTTTTTTTTCTCCTTCCAAGCTTATACAAAAACTGACAGATGTAGCAGAAGAATGCCAAAGCAACCAACTAAAGAAGTTGAAAGAGATTTGTGAAAGGTAAAGACCATTTACCAATTATTTTTGACGACCGTTCTATATGTACTTACAGAAGAGTTAAGACAGAGGGAGTCACTTCTGGGTGAATGTGCATAGCGTAACTTTTGTTCTGTTTTCTTCTTTCATAAAAACAAATCTGGATTTGTTGAAGAGAAAAGAAAGAGTTAAAGAAAAAAATGGACAAGAAAAGGCAAGAGAAGATCACCGAAGCAAAGTCCAAGGACAGAAATCAAATGGATGAGTAAGTGCAGTCTTCAGTTCTCACCTTAATTTGTATCCAGAAGACCCGAAACACCAATAGAAAAAAATCCTAATATTTTTTTAAAATGTATGTTTAACTATCACCTTCCACATATTATATTAAAAAGCAGGCAGAACAGTAGTATAGATTCCCACAGGGATTGTCCATTATTTTTCCTTTATTTAGAAGAGCATCCTTCCTTGAGGATGATTTTGTTTGAATCATCCTCAAGGAAGTTTGCAATCAGTCATAATGGCACTCATAATAGCGCATGACAAAGAGCACGCAATCTCTTTGAAATAAAAGATTAAACCATTTTGAAATCTGATGAAGCAATATATGTAAAATTTGGCTCTGGTTTTCTCTTAGTGAAGTTTACCAATTATTTTATAAACAAATTATTTGTAGCAGAAAACCAGTAATAAGTGATGTTAAAAAATAAATGGGATTAATCATTTTTAATTTTCCTCTCAGGGAGAAGACAGAAATGATTCGTTCATATATTCAAGAGGTGGTACAGTACATTAAAAGAGTAAGTCTACTACAACATGTATTCACCTTGGCATAAAGATTACATTTAAATATTTAGGCTGATTTGCACATTGTGATTATCTTGAAATAGCAAAACCCCAACATAATAGTAGCCTTTTTTTTGTGCAGAGACCATTTGTAGTCTCAATTTCCAGATAGTGCTAAAATTTTATACATTTAGTTTACCATTTTTCCTTGATTCTCCAGAGGCAGATCAGTTCTTACCTGGCTTGCAAATATAACAGCACCGCAACTGAAATAAGAAGGAACACAGAGAAGTTGAACAATTGTATTTCAGATATGGAACTTCAGTTGCTTCTTGTTTTGCTATGGAATGTGATTTTGGTTTTGTTTTTTCTTCCTGTCTGATACCTTGAATACTTTTGGTAGATGAGTGGCCATATATATTTGTTCAATACATACATACATACATACACGCATGAAAGGGTCCTTGGTGCTCTCTGAGTTTGCTTGTTTTCTTGACGACGTATCATTATCCTGACTAGTTAGGATACTGAAACATGGGCAAGAAAACAAGCAAACTCAAACTCCTCACCAAGGCCCTCTCATTTCAACCCTGAGCTACAAATGTTCTCCTTTATGCATGCATACTTCAGAGGAGCACAAAATAATATCTTTAAATTCCAGACTCTGTTCTTGCATGGCAAAGTTATGCCCCCAAAACGCTGTTCAGAAATGGATAAAAAGTCACTTAGTTGCTGTAAGATGTCATGACAAATCAAATGGAGCACTTATAAAAGGAAATACTTCCCACTAACATGCATGAAAAAATGGTTCTTTATGGTCAAGCTTTATTTTGGTGTAGTGGTTAAGCATCATCAGGCTGGAAACTCGGATATTTGTGAGTTCTATTCCTGCCTGAGGCACAAAGCCAGTTGGGTGGCTTTGAGCCAATCATTTTCTCTCAGCCCTTGGAAGGAGGCAATGGCAAATCATTTCAGTAAAACCTTGCCAAGAAAACTGCAGGGACTGGTCAAGGCACTCACTCTCTGAGAATCAGACATGATTGAACAGAATTAAAAATAAAATGAGTATGCTGGTCTGTATCTAGTTATCTCTTCAAAGCTCTGTGATTTGCATGTTGTCTATTGAAAAAAAAAATGCTTTTTTTGTAAAGCAAGTTAGCAGTGAGACCAATTAAGCCACTCACTCTCTTCAGAGCATATGGCACTTCACCTAATGAAACAGAAGTTGGTATTAAAAAGTATCAACACAGTCCAACAGATTTGCAGGAACATAAATATGTTTAGATTTAAAAAAGGACAATGTGCCCTGCAGTTAATACTAGCTACTTGGCCTAATTAAATGCTGCAGCTAATCACCATATATTAAGAATGTATTTTCCATTTTCGGCTGCACATTTCCAGCTATTAAAACTTTTAAATTTGAAACAAATCTACCGACATGCCCTGAACTCTTACATGAAAGAAGTTGACTATTTTAATAATGATGACATTATTTGATGTCAAAATGTTCTCTAAAACTTTGTTACCCAAGACAATTATGATATTGTGTTTTTGAGTGTTGAAACTGAGGAATTCAGATAGACATGTGAATTATAGTGGACTTTGTTTTTAAATTACAGCTAGAAGACGCCCAGACCAAAAGACAGGAAAAACTTGTGGAGAAACACAAAGAGATTCGTCAGCAAATACTGGATGAAAAGCCCAAGGTAAGAGAACTTGAGCACTAATAAGTTCATAATTAATAAGTATGAGGCTTATATCAGGTAATGTACACATATTTCATGGTGTGGAAAAGCACAGGTATATATTTTAAATACCATCCCTCAAGGGTATTGTTGACCTGTGGATTGATAAATGGCTATCATTTTGTTGGGAATATCTTTGACCAGCAGAGGGTGCAATACATTGATAGATATGTAAAAAAAAAAAAAATAGCACATTTACTCTTGTTTTGTTGTAACACACAAGTAAGTTTGGTGTGGTTTTTTTTTTCATCTCAGCAAATTAGCAAAATGGAAAGAATATAGTATGCTATAAGATGCTTTTTCAAGGTGCAGATATTATGAGGCATGTTTTGAATTCTTGTCTCAGCAAAGCAGATGGCTTATGCATGCACTTTGAACATATCGTATTTGTTTTGTTGGTTTTCCCAGTCTCTTGTCAGGAGGTCTGCAATTAGTTTCCAATGGTCGTATTGCTTATTCTGGCAGCTGATACTATCCATGAAATTAATTCATTGTGGTTTGGGTTGTGCTTTTTGCCATAAAAAAACATATAAATGTTTTAGACTACTTTCTTGGTGAGTTCACTATAGTTATTCTTACTGACTACCCTTGTGATCATACAGGAAAATAGATGACATTTTATCTTTGACTTTTTCTTAAGTGCATGGAAATTATAAAATGAGTAGCTATATTTTATAGTCCTTGAAGGCAGAAAATTAGAGTTAATATAATATTCAAGTCAGAGCATTTTTCCCTTCTGTTTTCTTATGGCTCAGCTTCTTATACAAGCCAATGATTTGAAAAAAGATCTGGACTGTACATGTTGTTTTAAATGTGGAGAAGAGATATGCCTCTTGTTGAAAACAATAACTATTCTTTGAGTTTGGCTGCCAGCCAAAATTCTGAAGAATTAATGGAGAACAGTCTACAATTAATGAAATCTGGTGGAAAACCCTTGTGATATATTTGAAGAATCTCCCTTCTCCCAAGTAGCCCAACAAGCACTGAATGTGTCCAGAGTTCAAGAGGTGTATTGTTTAATTATTTGTGGGAACAGGCAGAAGGAGATAAGGAATGGAATATCCTGAATAGAAGCATTTGATACTGCAATATTCAATATTGCTTAGACAATGAATGCATCTTTTCTTGATAATATAATCAACCATTGTTTGTCACCTTGAAACTCAAAGGGCAGATTTCTCACTTTCCTAAACCGGAGCTAGTATATACCTGATTATTTCTTTCAAACTCATTTATCTGGAAATATGCTTGCTTAAGGTATTTCATGATTAGATATAAACAGGGGCGATACAGGTATTTAATCAGCTTTAGACAAGCTCTTTATCACTTGCCTGAATCCCATGTTATGAACCTGTTTCAACTTCACTGAATTCCTGCAGTTTAGTGTCATGGCATCACACAACAAAATTAAAATTAGAGGCACTGATAATTTAAAATTTGTCTTTCTGTCATATATTGAAGGTTTTTTTTTCTGGGTACTGTCACTAAGCTCCAGGTGTGTCCAAAAAATAAAATCAAGAAATCGAACACAAATGGCATGCATTTTTTTTTCTTACAATAGTAGCAGCAAATTAATTCAGTTGTAGTCTGAGAAATGTTGCTGCCCAACTATAAATTACTTACAAGTTTTATCTGATGTAATATGCTGCCAAACCATCTGTGCAGTATTTGCAGACTCTGCTTTAGCCATTAAAATCATCTCATTTTGGAATTCATATCCTCTTTCCAGATAATCTGGGTTGACTAAATCTAACTTTGACTTTTTTAGAACTGAAAGACAGTGAGTGCTATCACACATGAGGAAAATTCTGCCTTTGCCTTTCCCTTCTCCCACCTCCCAAACAGCTTGCTCCAAATACTACCTGGCTGTGGAAAATTAGGAAGTTAAAAATGCACTTATTAAGAAAATTTGGGGAATTGGCTTTTTTTCCCCCTGTCACTGTGCCTCAATCTCAAAAAGAAACTTCTTGCCAGTGATCCTGCACCTCACGTGCAAGTGTTTTGCTTTGAAATTTAACAGATTAATAGATTTGGAAGGGACCTTGTAGGTCATCTAGCCCAAACAGAGACCTTGTACCATTTCTGACAGATGGCAGTCTAGTCTCTTCTTGAAAGCTTCCAGTAATAAAGCTCCCACAACTTCCGAGGGCAAGCTGTTCCATGGATTGATCACTCTCACTGTCAGAAAATTTCTCCTTATTTCCAGGTTGAATCCATCCTTGCTCAGTTTCCATCCATTATTCCTTGTCTGGCCTTCAGGTGCTTTGGAAAATAGCTTGAACCCCCCTCCTCTCTGTGGCAGCCCCTCAAATATTGGAATACTGCTATCATGTCTCCCCTTGTCCTTCTCTTCACTAGACTAGCCATGCCTAGCTCCTACAACCATTCATCATACGTTTTAGCTTCTAGGCCCCTAATCATCTTGGTTGCCCTTCTCTGCACACTTTCTAGAGTCTCAAAATTGAAGAGGCTGTCTCCAATTTTTCTCTTTCTGAGATATGGGTGGTGAGTAGTAACTCACCACCCATCTCTCAGGAAGAGAAAAATTGGAGTAGCATTGCTAAATATTGGGAAAGAAAGTTTGTTTTCCACTGATGAACAACTTTAGCAGCCAATGGATTGTAGTGTAGTAAGACCCAGATGAAAGATAGTCCTCAATTCGCAACCATTCTTTTAGTGATCATTCAAAGTTACAGTGGCACTGAAAAAAGTTGTTTACAACCAGTCCTCTCACTTACAATTGACACAGAATCTCCATGGTCATGTGATCAGGATTCAGGTGCTTGGCAACTGGTACATATTTATGCATTTGCACTTGCACTTAGACTTATATACCCTTTATAATGCTTTACAGCCCACCCTAAGTGGTTTACAGAGTCAGCCTCTTGCCCCCAACAATCTGGGTCCTCATTTTATCCACCTCAGAAGGAGGGAAGGCTGAGTCAACCTTGAACCTGGCCAGATTTGATCTGCCAAATTGCAGGCAGCTGGCTGTCAGCAGAAGTAATTTGCAGTACTGCATTCTAACCACTTGCACCCACGGAGGCTTTACAAAAGTCGCAGCATCCGAGGATCACGGAATTGCCATTTGTGAGCTTCCCAGCTGGCTTCTAGCAAACAAAGTCAATGGGGAAGCCAAATTTGCTTAATGACTACATGATTCACTTAACAACTCAGTGATACAGTTAACCCTGGCAAAAAAAATGTTGCAAAATTGGGCTTCACTCAGGTAGCACCCACTTTGCTTAACAACAGAAATTCTGGTCTCAATTGTGGTCCTAAGTCAAGGACTACCTATATCAGTGACACAGTTTTCTTATCTCTATCTGTGTATTAACACATTTATCAACTCAAGAATGCCTGTGACAAACCTAAACACTCTCTTATCTGTTGAATCGGAGTGAGGTTTACAAAAGCATACAAGATGACAAATTTGTTTATTGCATGTAATTTTTAGCATTTTGGATATTGAGTAAGGTGAAATTGAAAATACATTACACTGCTGTTTCATTATATCTCACTATGTCATAAAATCACAGAAAGAAGAATACAAATATAAACAATGTGCAAACATTCAGCATACAACTTTATTAAAAAAAATTATGTATATAACTGCCATTCTGTTGGGCAGATAGGCAGACCTCCACACACACACACACACACACACACACACACACACACACACACACAC